GCTCACAGTACTCACTGAATTTGTGTAGAACTACATCAAGACTGTGCTTGTCCTCTTGATCCTCATATGTGAAGGTATTGTAAATTTCTATTCCTTCGTCTCCGATCGTGTGGAGTAGTATAGCAATATTGGTAGCACCATCTTTTTTTACCGCACCTGACGCCGTAAGGTAAAGCTCGAAACGCTGCCTCCACCTTTTCCAATTCTCTCCGAGATTCCCATCGAAATTGAGCTGGGATGGGGGTTTAAACTGTTCCATTTAAGGCGTGAATTTCGTAATTATTCTGACACCATGTAATATTTAATAGCTGAAGAGCGCCATTAGGAAAGCACAACAGAATTTATTCGCCTCCAATTGGTTGATATTACATTAGAGTTATCCGGGTACTCATGACGTATAGTGCATATATGACAGGATGTATGCTCACTATGCTGTCATCCACAAACACATGCGTCTAGACAGAGGAATTGCTCTGACCTGTGATTGGAGAATAAAAATAGAATTTGTGACGTTTCGTTCTCATTTTGCATACCCTGCCGCATACGCTGTATTACGCTAGGACCGGTAGGAAAGTGTACTAACTATCATATGGCGCGAATGATTTGAGTTACATTACTTTAAATTCCAGCTATTATAGACACATGTCTTAGCTATGATCCCTGTGAGTCTTGAGTTTATCAGGGTTCTGCCCACAGTGGGCGGCGGTGGGCGGCCCGCCACTCGCGGTTGCCACCCAGCACTATAAACGAGTCGGTTATCTCCGCCCGGCACTAATTAAAAAAAAGAAGAAAAAAAAAAAGACAAAGCATCGTAGACTAAATACACTGTAGTTTGTGTCCATTTGTTTATAACTGAAGCAGTCTGACAGGAACTGTGACTGGCAGTAGCCTGGCTATCATGTTTAATAGTAGCAAATATTTGTCTACACAAATTGTACTGTTTTCTCTTTTCTATGTATATCCAAACTGTTGATAAATTATAATCTCAGATATTGCACTTTGTCCTCTAAAACCCCTGTTTTTCATTTTTTTTACCTAAAAAAACAACAAATTTTCAGTCTGACATATGGGCTTTTTATTGCTCAGAATGCAGGAAATTGAGTTTCAGACTATCCAAAATCAAAAATTGATTTTGTCGCATATGGATGCGCCCGGCACTAAAAAATCCTGGGCAGAGCCCTGGTTTATGGAAGGCCGATTAGCTTAATTAAATAGCAAATATATGTGTCCGCGCGGTATCGCTCATACTCAAGTCACAAGGTTAAATGCCAAAATGAAAACGAAACATCACGAATTTTTATCCTTCAATTACAAGTCGGGGCAATTCTTCTGTTTAGACGCATGTCCACAAACAGTGATGGCCAAGTCTTTCTTCAATTTGTTCATAGGTGTGAAGTTATTAATATGCAGAGGCAGGAAGTACGGCAACCGTATCTTAATGTCTCGAGGCTACGGGTACGGCAGTCCATTTGCGCATGCGTCGCTTTCCCACAAAATAATGCCGTTGGAAATTAATTCACAATTTAATTCACAATTAAGATTTCTTGATGAGCTAGAAAACACTCGGATTTTAAGTATGAAAATGAACATTATTGTGCCAGCTAGCCTACACCAGTCGGTTGGGATTGATTGTCAGTTCAGATGCGAAATATTGAAAGGTTATACTCCATAGATTAATTTGGTACTATGACACGCGTATATAAGATAGCCGAGTCGGTTTATAGTTAGTGTTAGGGTTAGGGTTGGGTTAGGGTTAGAGTTAGGGTTGGGGTAGGAAGGGTGACTGTTTGTACTTGTGTGTGGGACTGCCGTACCCGTAGCCTCGAGACATTAAGATACGGCTGCAGCGCATGCGTAGTGTGACTGGCGTACTCGTAGCCTCGAGACATTAAGATACGGCTGCAGCGCATGCGTAGTGTGACTGGCGTACTCGTAGCCTCGAGACATTAAGATACGGCTGCAGCGCATGCGTAGTGTGACTGGCGTACTCGTAGCCTCGAGACATTAAGATACGGCTGCCGTACCCGTAGCCTCTGCGTTATTAAAATTATGTAAAATTACAACTTCATCCATTTTTATCCCATTACTTTAACCTACCACGGCCTCCCAAACATCACATGCTCTTCTGCAGGAAATAAACGTAGGTGGAATGTAAAGATGCTAGTTCATTGGTAGTAACACACTAACTATTGCCAATAGCAATATACCACACATCACTACATAGAGCACATGCGTGTAGCTCTATGCTCCGCTAGTACATGCCCTTGTGAACTAAACTTACATCAGCCACTAAGTTGAGCAAGTACAATAGTTAATACTACAGAGTACATGCAGTACAGAATAACCAACTACAAATTGCGCTGATAGGGTCTATGTCCCCCAGGGTACTGCCGGAACGTACCCTGGTAACTATCTAATATGCCGGACCGTACCTCACAGGGCTCGAATTAACCGACGGCACCGACGGCAATTACCGTCGGTGCCCCTATCAATCGCCGTACTGCCCCTGAAAATCCAACCCGACCGACGGCAGTCACCTGCCTTGCCCTTTTGTGTAATTGCTGTCGGTGCCCTTTAATCTACTGCCCTAGTTTCGTTTTTAGTAGAATCAACATAACACGTGCGCGTGCGTGCTGTAGTTGCAATGATGAGCTAAAAACCGATAGTCGCAGGAGGGAATAATAACGGCATCGGATAATTATTTTCTCCTGATAGCNCACACGCACGCACGCACGCACGCACGCACGCGTCTGTATGTAATGTGTAATTGTAGGATCGTGTTCGTAACGCGATGGAAGTGGTCGTTCACGTAATTGAGCACGTGATCGTGCACGTGATCGTGCACGTGATTGAGCACGTGATTGAACACGTGATAGCGCACGTGAGAACACACACTGTGCACGTGATCAAACACGCACTGTGCACGTGATCGAACACACACTGTGCACGGGATCGAACACGCACTGTGTACGTGATCAAACACGCACTGTGCACGTGATCGAACACGCACTGTGCACGTGATCGAACACGCACTGTGCACGTGATCGAACACGCACTGTGCACGTGATCAACACGCACTGTGCACGTGATCGAACACACACTGTGCACGTGATCAAACACGCACTATGCACGTGATCGATCACATGATCGTACACATGATATAGCGCTCGCGGCTTTACTGTAATAACGTAGCGTCTGGAAACGTTCCCGTAAAATCAGTGACGTAGAGGATTGCGTAACAATTACTCGGACAATTACCCCCCGGACAATTACCCCCATGCCATTTACCTCCCCATGCCAATCACCCCCG